GTTTCGAATGTTGNTTCTAACCTGCCCCTGCCCTTATCAATCTTTCTAGAGAGCAATTTGTAACCTCATTTCTTATTTTCTTCTTGATGTGTATTTCAGCTCCACCTTTCCCACGCTCCTTTTGTATTTTTCATGTTACATTTTATCCTATTGATGTTATGGACTCAAGGTCTGGATATTAAAAACAAACATAATTCCTTTGGAAGTGTTTGTAGTTCCTAATTTTTCATTTACTGTGGAGCTCACAGAAACAGGTTCGTGGACAAGCTCTATCTTTAACAAATTCCATTAATTCCAGATCTATTTGTACCCTTTGTTGTAATCATAAAAATAATGTTTGTATTCTCTGTATAATGCTCACTTTATATTAAAGTACATTTTGTTATTATGTAAATGTATAGCAATATGTAAGCTATTTTGGTTTATGTTAAAAAAAAGGTAACAAAAACACCAGAGAACTAACTATAACAAACATTTTATTGATCATACAAAGATCACAGTGTACATAAATATCAAACATAAAAAGTGAAAGATCCATATAATGAAAAATCCTTACATATGTGTGAAAACCAGGAACAGAATGGTAGCCAGATATCATTTTCTTTTTTTCTTTTTTATTTCTTACAATATTAAACAAAATAATGCACACACACATGGTCTAAGTCCCTGGCATCTCTGGCTATCAGTCATAAGGTAGCTCAAATTGTAAAAACTAAACAAGTAACACTGAACGACCAACATCAACCATCAGTCCTGGTTCCTCACACATACTCATTATTATGACAAGGAGGAAAGGTAACTATGATGAGAAATAAAAATGCCTTAGGGCCAAGAATCTAATTCTCATAGAGGCACATTTTGGGCTCAACACAATAGTTCACACCTGTATTGCTGGACATAACACTTGAGCATTCAGTGTTCCGATGGGCTTCGTTAACTAGTCTCTATTGTCAGGTGTGTAGGTAAATGCTTGCGGGCATTGCTAAACATAAATAATAAGAGCCAGTTGTACTGCTCTTTCCAAAAGGGTTGTGAAAATATTTTTCTACTGAAGCAAAGCTCAAGTTATGTTTCAGATGAAAAAAAATATTTATAAAAAAACAGCAGTATATCAGTAAATAGAATCCCAAGACTTCATCTAGCCATGGGAGAAATCCACATGAAATCAATCTTTAGGTTAATAAGCACTTATAAAATTGCTGCATGTATTGAAACACAATTGTCCAGCAATATGTATATAAAAAAGCCTCAACTAATTATCGTACATACAATACCTCATCTAAATAATATCATATTTATCTTTTTACTAAAAACTGCTTCATCTCCTTATTACTGGGGATAAATATGTGTTCAATTTCATAATTACATATTGATATTGACCATACATATTACACTAGGTAATTGTTTAACACAGGTGGAGAAAAAGTCAAGTTTGCAGTTCATACATCTTTGAATTTTAAAAATATTTGATATCCCATTTGAAACAAGGTTATATCAAGTTCTACTTACATTAAAAGGCTTATATAAAAGGTTGATATTCCCTAAACAATATTTTCTAAACATCTCATTTTAAACATAATGTCCACTTTCTACAATCCTATTTTAGGTTCTTTTTATCTATTTTCTTTGAAATTTTGCAATAAATAAATGAATAAATAAAAGCACATTACAAGGTCAACTAATACATTCTACATTTATAAATTCTAACGTTACAAAAGTAGAAAAAATGAAAAATCTTGGCACCAAATTTGTTGTCATTTGACTGAAAAGTAGAACAAAATACTGTTTCCTAGTTTTCCTTTTCATTATAAGAGGTTTGAGGGTGATATGTAACTCTTCAAGCAACTACAGATTGTGTAACTACAATAACAATACATTTCTGACTAGATACATTCTAATACAACTCTATCTCTCTTTTCTTTCTTTTTTTCTACATATCTTCTTATCTGTGTTTAAATTTTGAATGCTATGATGATATGGTAAAGCATTTGAACGTTATGTAATACTGTACTGCATCCAAAACTTCCATAAAGTTTTAATTATCACTGGTAAGTCTCATCGAATATCATAATTAGGGCAAGCTTCCTCTAAGTTACAAACATGTACATGTTTTACATATCTATTAATATTTTTCTTTTAATATTCACATAAGGATATCTCATTCTCTATATTTCATGCTTTATTCGGTTGTTTGCCTTTCCACTCATTTAACAAGATGTTTCAAATGAAAAAAAATCTCCTTTTAGGGGGGAAGAGTCAACAAGTTGTTATATTTACTGTCATGATTTCATTTCAGAGTATCAAACACTATTCTAGAGAGCAATTGATTAGCACCTGCATGATTAGACCTATCTACAAACATCAAAACAAATAAGAGGTTAATAAGCTAATAGACAAAGTTGAACAGATATGCAAAAAGTTGCACGAGGAATAGGAAATCTTACACGAGCTAGATATATAACTTGAAAGAGGCTTATAGACAATACGCCTGAAATACTAGATAAAGAGTAACCTAGAAACCTCTAGGAAGATCATTATGGTGGAACAGGGAAATATTCACGACCACAGCTTTGGACTTCATTAGACTTTCACAGAAGGTTATCTAAGATATGTGCTAGACACTGTTTAGGTGCGATGTACATGGTTCATACCAGAGTGTCTGTATGACTGGACTTAAACTGTATAAAATATGCATCATGTACTACTCTCTGCTTCCCTGCTCCATTCTTGCACAATTATTCTGAGAAAAAAAAGGTGTTCTGCTCTTGTTAGAAAAAACCCTTCGTTTATGACTACCCACGGATAAAAAAGTATTATTGTTCCAGGCATGGCATTTAACATACGAAAATGCCACTTGCAGATAGCTTACCTAGTACATCTATATATAGATATAAAAAACTTTAAAACCAAAGGTTACCTTTGTCTTTGCATTTAAGACATCTATAACTTTGATCATAAGTCATCATGTTGAAAAGATGAAGGAGACATTCTTATTATCTTCAGTTGTTTTCTTCTTGTGCTGAAATCAGCTATGCCTAGACATGAGCTAAGGCTTAAAGAATATATATAAAAAAAATCCATGATATACTGACTAACAAAGAAATATCACTTGACATAAACATGGATGAAATACTTGTTGGAGATTGAAATAGGGCTTATGAAGAAACAAAACGGGGTTAACACTTTCATCTTTAAGTAATGATGATTCTTTAGTGACAACATTGAAGTGCAATTAAAAAGAAACACCTTTAGTATTGTACTATTGAAAACCAAACCATCACATAACTTAAAACCAGATGAGGTATGCAATAAAATCAATGGTTCTGAATATGCATCAACAGCCAATGGCATCAATGATGATATTTGTTCAACATAACAGAGATGCCTTTTGACTAAGTTATTAAGATCACACTATTTATATTTTCTTCAGATAGATATTCAGCACGTCTATATGATCCTGTTCATTTCAAGACAGTTATTAGTGTTGCTTACAAGAACATTCAGGAAACAAATATAAATATACACAGGACAACACTTAACAGTGTATATATCTTAAATAATCCTTAGTTCTATATCCTATATTAAATAAAATTACAGAGACCTTTCATACAAACTGTACTGTGTTTTTAAGCAATTAAGCTTCGGTATAATCACATAAATCATTTAAAATACACTGTACATTGTCTGGTAGCTTTAATTTGAAAAAATAAACATATAAAAGGTATGAAGCCATGAGTGAAAAGTGACATTTATGCCACAATATCTATCTATATCTTAATTCCCATTCAGCTGGGCCTTGTGTATCTAATTAGTTCATATTCTGTTAGCAAAGGCAACAACACCTGTGCCACAACAGTGTGTGGCTGTAAAACTAACATTACTTAACATTAGCTTGGAGGCGATTGTCCTGTGATTCATGCGATATGACATAATGCAGCATCGATAATGAATAACATTTTATATATATGTGAGTGTGTATGTATGTGTATATGTATATGAATATATATATATATATATATATATATAATATATATATATATATATATATATATATATATATATATATATATATATATATATATATATATATATATGAATAAACACATGATAGGGGAAGGCCAAATCTTCAATAGTTAACCCCACTCTGTCCTTTATTGATAATAAGTAATGCACAATAATAATGTTTTTATGTCCTGCTGCCAAACTACAAACCTTTAATAATCATGTATTAACCAAGATTTCCCTATACGTTGTTTTGCACAGATATTTATGCTCGTAAACAAGTAGGAAGTGGTACCACTGTTACAACTTTTTAAGAAGACGAAGTGGGATTAAATTAGTTTTCTGAATATTTGACAGTAGGCGAGGAAGAGAAATAGAACTTTCAGGAGAGGTAACTTTCTTCCTGATGAGAATGTTTAATTTCTTATTTTTTCAGTCTGGGCTCATTAGGAATCATGCAATCGAAAGAGATTGGCAAGTTCCTTCACTTACTTAAACATTCTCATCATGAGGAATTTTATCCAGTGTCGACAGCTAGTTTTCTAATAAGTAACTGTGGACACTGTATAGCACACGGGACCTTTAAAGCTAACTACATAGGATATTGTGTATAAAAGATTAAATACTTTATGGTACTTCCTAGGTGAGAAAATTCAAAGCATATACTGTACTATCTTTAATTAATGGATATGGGAAGCCCTCATTTGTGTTTTACATAATATTTACAGCTGCCATCACCATTTTACAAGAAATAACGCATTGGAGAAATCAAACAAGTCTGTAGTATGTCTTAATTATATATATATATATATTATATATATATATATATATATATATATATATATATATATAATATATATATATATATATATATATATATATATATATATATATATATATTATATATATATATATATATATATATATATATATATATATATATAATATATATATATATATATATATATATATATATATATATATATATATAAACTGAC